TGGCTGGGGTGGGTAGATGAGAAATCTCTGTACCTTCTGCTCAATTTTGCTGTGAACCCAAAACTGCTCTATAAAATAAAGTCTTAAAAAGGTGTGGGGGGGTGGATAAGCACTAGAGAAAGGTAGAGAAAATTCAGGGTGGGAGCAAGTGGGCAGGTGGATGAGTAAGAGAGAAAATGGGGTAAGCAGAAGGTGGGTGGTGACAGCAGAAATTGCAAGAAGTTTCCTGGCATTTTTATGGGATCTAACATGCCACACACGCCCCACCTTTCCTACCAGATGCAGGTTCTTTAAGACACACCCTTAAAGCATCTGCCACAAGTTACAATGCAGTAGAAGAAAGTTAGAAAAAAAAAAAATAATGCTGCCTATTACTGCTTGTATTTGCCTGTTTGGGAGTAGGGAGACATCACCTCTCCCTCTGCAGACTGATGCTCACGGCCGGGACTGAACATTCAGATCCCTGCGTGTGGCAGTGCAAAAGACAGCATCCTTCCCATGGGCTGCAATGAATGCAGTGAATAAAGCACTGCACCTTCCCAGGGACATTTCGATGGGAGAAGAAGAGAGTGCAGTCCACCCTGTGACCTGCGGGGACGGACTGCAGGCGTGCAGACTCTCGCCTGGGCGGCTGTGCCCAGACAGTTCCCCCCCACACACACCTGAACTCCCTTCCAGCTCTTCTCTACTTATCTAAGTCTTAACATGCTTAAATTCCTCCTTTCACTTGAACCTTTCCCTTTATTGGTTCTCCAACGTCAGTTGAGTGAGCTTCAGAATCACCTGTAGGGGAGGGGCGCGGAAGGGGCTGAAGGAGCTGTTAAAAATGCGGTTTCCTGAGATCTGGGGCCAGAGATTCTGAGGTATAGCAAGTCAGGTGTGGGGCCCAGACAGCTGCACGTTTAACAAGCTTCCCGGGGGGCTTCGGATGCAGGATCCCTCGACCACATTTTGAGAAACCCATCTTAGGACACTTTATAACTTTTCATCATTCTCTGCCATGTGGCTTACACTATCATGTCCGTCCTGCCTTCCCCATGAGGCCGTGGGTGCTAAGACCTAGGTGCTGCGTGTAAATTAAGCCTGATAATGAAGCCACTTAGATTCATTTTTTCAGTTTTACTGAGGTACAACTGACAAATAAAAAGTATATATATTGGGGGTGCCTGGGTGGCTCAGTCGGTTAAGCGACTGCCTTCAGCCCGGGTCATGATCCCAGGGTCCTGGGATCGAGTCCCGCATCGGGCTCCCTGCTCAGTGGGGAGCCTGCTTCTCCCTCTCCCTCTGCCTGTTGCACCCCCTGCTTGTGCTCTCTCTCTCTGTGACAAATAAATAAATAAAATCTTTAAAAAAAGTATATATATTGGAGGTATATACCTTGATATTTTGATATAGGTACACATTGCAAAATGATCACCACAATCAAGCTAATTAACATCCCTCCCCTCACATTGTTGCCATTTTCCTTTCTTGTTGCTATTATTGCTGTTGTTCTTTATTTTTAAATACTTCCTGGCACATAACATCAAGTTATGATGGGCAAAGAAAGTCAAGGAGCAGGATAAGATTATCAGAAAAACAGTGACTAGAAAAATGATACACTGTCTTGCAATGGTGAAAAAAGCTCAACAAATGGCAGTGTATCTTGAGAACACAGAACGAACCAAGGTCAGGGGCAGCACAAGTCTCCTCTGGCCTGCCATGGCCCTAAAGGATGCTCAACACATATTCAAAACAACAGGCCAGTCTCAGTTAGACACATTGATGTGCCACCAGAATTGCACCAAGGCCTGAATGGGGCAGAAATCAGCAGAGGATCCCTTAGAAACTTGAAAAGGGGGAGATGATATCCACAGACTTACCAATTCAAGAGGTCTCTACCCTGCCCAAGTTTATAGTATATAATGGTTAATTTTAGTTTTTAAAAGATTTTATTTATTCATTTGAGAGAGAAAGAGAGACAGAGAAAGAGAGAGAGAGAGCACAGGAGCAGGGGGAGAGGCAGAGGGAGAAGCAGACTCTCCACTGAGCTGGGTGCCCGACATGGGGCTTGATCCCAGGACCCAGAGATCACAACCTGAGCTGAAGGCAGATGCTTAACCATTGGAACCACCCAGGGGCCCCGTGATGGTTAATTTTACATGTCACTTCACTGGGTCACAAGGTACCCAGCTTAAACATTATTTTTGGGTGTATCTGTGAGCAGTTTTCCAGATAAGATGAGCCTTTGAATTGGGAGAGTGAGTAAAGCCGACTGCCCACCCCGATGTGGGTGGGCATCATCCAATCTGTTGAGGGCCTGAATAGAACAAAAAGGTAGAGAAAGGGAGAATTGTTCTCTCTGCCTGACTTCTTGAGCTGAAACATCAGTCTTCTCTTACCCTCGGACTAGAACTTACACCATTGGTTCTCCTGGTTCTCAGGCCTTTGGACAATTCAACTTCTAGGAATCCATTCTACACATCTTCATACGGTTTGCCAAAGTCCCATGTATAAGATCTTCACTGCAGAATTGTTGATATAGCAGCAAGGAACCAGAAGCAATGCACATGAACTCCAACAGGAGTTGGGAGAGACAAACTGCAGGACATCCAGAATTTGTATATAAGATTTACATAAGGCCCGTAAGAATCACAGAGGTTAATGTGCCTTGGGTAATCCAAATGACATTTTAAATTGGTAGAATCATTGTATGTACATACTACATCTTCTTTATCCATTCATCTATCGATGGATACTTGGGCTGCTTCCATATCTTGGCTATTGTAAATAATGCTGCAATAAACATAGGGGTGCATATTTCCCTTTGAATTAGTATTCTCATATTCTTTGGGTAAATACCCAGTAGTGTGGTTGCTGGATCATAAGGTAGTTCAATTTTTAACTTTTTGAGACACACACACACACACACATGCAAACATAAACACACACACGGGAATATTATTCAGCCACAAAAAAGAATGAAATCTTGTCATTTGCAACAACATGGATGGAGCTAGAGACTATTATGCTAAGTGAAATAAGTCAGTCAGAGGAAGACAAATACCATATGTTCTCACTCATATGTGGAATTTAAGAAACAAAACAAATGAGCAAAGTGAAAAAAGACAGAGAGAGGCAAACCAAGAAACAAACTCTTAACCACAGAGAACACAGTGATGGTTACTAGAGGGGAGGTGGGTGGAGTGGGGGATGGGGGAAACAGGGGGTGGGGATGAAGGAGGGCACTCGTGATGAGCACTGGGTGATGTATGGAAGTGCTGAATCACTAAATTGTACATCTGAAACTAATAATACACTGTTAACTAACTGGAATTTAAATAAAAACTTGAAAAAATAAATTGGTAGAATCAGCAGAGGCAGAGACAGCTCCAAAGCAGCTTGACGGCATACTCCAAATCCACAGGGAGAAGCAGCTATGGTAATATTTTCATCCACCATTTGACTGCATCCTTTCTTTAAAAATTGAATCACTGGGGGGGGGGGAGCACCCAGGTGGCTCAGTTGGTTAAACGTCTGACTCTTGATTTCGGCTCAGGTAATGATCTCAGGGTCGTGGGATCAAGCCCTGTGTCAGGCTCCATGCTCAGTGGGGAGTCTACTTCTCTCTCTCTCCCTCTCCCATTGTTCCTCCCCCAACTTGTGCACCCATGTGTGCTCTCTCTCTCCCCCCCCCTCTCTCTCCAAAATAATAAATAAATCTTTTAAAAAATTAAATCACTGGGGTGGGGTGGCTGGGTGGCTCAGTCAGTTAAGTGCCTGACTCTTGGTTTTGGCTCAGGTTATGATCTCATGGTCGTGAGATGGAGCCCCCCGTTGGGCTCTGCGCTCAGTGCAGAGTCTGCTTGAGATTCTCTCCCTCTCCCACCCCCTCTGGCCCTCCACTTGCTCATGAGCTCTCTCTCTCTTTCTCTCTTTCAAATAAATAAGTAAAATCTTTAAAAAAAATTAAATCACTGGGGGATCACCTGGAAGCTAAAAGAAATGGTCAGAGAGGAAGGGAGAAGGGAGCCCAGCTCTGTTGGGTAATATATTTTAACCTCAGAAATGTAAGAAGAAAAATAGTGGTAAAATTGTCCCCTATGATTATTGTCGGTGTCACCTATGAAGCTCCTTCCTGAGTTTTCATACCAACTACTGCTCACATCATCATTATGGAGCAAATTCACCAAAGAGCGCAATTCTGTCTTTTGAAACACAATGTATAGAGATGTTTAAAAACTATCCATGCACAGAATGAAAGGAGTGTGCAGTCCAAACGCATATCCAATATTGGGTGAAAAGCGACACTATTTCAGCTGAGGTCGAGGACGACGACGAAGCTACCAGACAGGAAAACTTAGAGGTTATGTTGCCTTGACCTTTTCATTAGTGACTGGGCCAAGTCTGGAAAGGAGACATGAAGGAAAGCAGAGAGAAGATTAAAGAGAATAATAGGATTTTTTTTCAAATGGGAACTTATTTTGAATATTGTACATGCCCTATTTATAGCTAATAGATTTTGACATATCTGTGTTCAAGCCAGAGCTATTTCATTCCTCCCTCTGTGCCAAAGGGCAGTCTTCCCTTCAGGCTCTCCTCAAACACAAGGTTGATAATATTTCCGAGGACATCATAATGGATTGATTGATTCTAAAATAAAATCACAGTATATAATCACTTAAAACTTATTGCTTAGAGGAACTTGGGAATTCACCTTCTAAATATCTGGTAAGGCTATATCTAATGGCTGAATTTCCCCATGATGCCTACATGTGAACCGATTTCTCTTTCGGCACTGTTTAATAGGCCTTGCTCTGAATCTTTGTGCTACCTTTGAATTTGTCAGTACAGTGGATGTAAAAGTTCTAGCCATCTGTACAAGGCCTATTGACATTAGACCCTTGCAATACTCCGCCAAGTCTCCCATAAGTGTCACCTCAACGCATCCGTGGCTCAGCCAGTGAAAAGGTTCCATACAGACAGTCAAGAAATTATTTGGTTATGATCTGAACACTCACCACAGTATAATAGTTCTTGGTAAGCGGAGTAGTTTCAAATCCTTTGACAGCCTTGGGGGAGAGAGGTCTCTCTGTGAAAAAGACATTTAAATTATGTTAATAACATCCAAGGCGAAGAGGAGCATTTTATAACATAGGTCAACTAACCTACTACAAATATTGTAAAATGGAAAGATCAGTGGAAATGTACAGTCCTCAACAAGTGAAACTATACTTTTACTAAACTCTAGATGGTCCAAGTTAGATCTTGTCCAGGCCCCCTCAATCTCTGAGTTGACTCTGGGAAACAAACTGAGGGTTACAGAAGGGAGGTGGGTGGGGGGATGGGGTAACTGGGGGATGGACATTAAGGAGGGCACATGGTGTGATGAGCACTGGGTGTTATACGCAACTAATGAATCATTGATTATATCAAAAACCAATGATGTACTACTATACATTGGCTAATTGAATTTAAATTAAAAAAAAAAAAAAGCCTAACTAATGAATGGCAGGGCCAGGGCAAGAACTTTTCTCCATTTGGGCGTGTTTAATTACTGCAGTCTGTCTCTCCACTCAACTTATTCAAAACAGATAAGCAAAGCCAATGCTAACCAAGTATATGTATTTGTAACTTGTAAGTTATACGAGTATGATATAGAGAATAGCAACCATCCTCTCTCGGGGCTCTCTACTGTGCCAAAAATAAAATAATTAAAATCTCTAACACACTGAAAACTAGCAGGAAATTCTTATTTCTTTTATGTATCATTTTAATATCATAACATTCAGCGATAAAATGCTTTCTTTTACAAAGTTACTCTTACCTACCAAACTCATGACTAAGAGACATCCTAACACATTCTTTCTTTAAAAAAAAAAAAAAAAATTTAAGATAAATACAAGATGGTGATCTTTTCTACCCTCATTTTCTCCTTTGCTTCATTTTGTTTTAATTCCATTTCTATCTTGCTATATTATATGCTGCTTCAAATTCTCTCTGAAGTATGGTGGAGTATATATAAATAACCAAATGATAAGATAGCATCACGCTTGGTTTTTCCTTTAAAAAAATATTTTCTAGTTTTATATCTACTACATTCCCACCCTAAAAAATGTAAATTTTAGAAAAGAAAAGAAAAACCGATTATTAGCCCATCACTCAGAGCTAACCATCATCAGAGTAACATTATAAAGTGTGTCTTCCCATCCTTTTTATATATGTATTTGTGGACACACACACACACACACACACACACACACAGGGATCTTTCTTACTTTACTTACAGTTTTGTAATTCTCCTAACAACCTTTAAAAAAAATTTTTTTTATGTTATCTCTATTCCCAATGTGGGGTTCGAAGTCAAGATCCCAAGATCAAGAGTCTCACGTTCTACCAAATGAGCCAGCCAGGCGCTCCTCTGTAATTCTCCTATCACAATATTATTTCATGAATATTTTCTCATCTAATCTTGACTTTTAATTATTATTATTATATTAAAAATACTCTTTACGTGATGTAATGAGGACTGGGTATTATATAAGATGACCTCTACCTCTGAAACCAATAATACGTTATATGTTAATGGAGTTTAAATTAAAAAAATATCCTTTATATTTATTTGGCACTTCGTAGCTTTCAAGACATTTTATTTGATCCTCACAACAGCCCTGTCAGGCAGAGATGATCTCATTTTGCAGAAGAGGTCACTAAAGTCAGGGAGATGAAGTCAGTTGCCTAAGGGCACGTATCTGGGAAATGGCAGAGGCAAGGCTGAAGCCCAGGTGTGCCTTACGAAGAGCCTGCACTCCTAACCCATATGATGTGCAGAGATAAAGCTACTGAAGGGCTCGGTTGATGGCATTGGCAGTGATCCCTACTGGAGATCAGAGGGACCATCAGTTTGAGCTGGGATGGTCAGAGAAGACTTTGCTGGGCAAGGGGCACTTCTAAAAAAAAAAGACTTTATTTATTTATTTAAGAGAGACAGAGCAAGCGAGAGAGAGCACGAGCAGGGGGAGTGGCAGAGGGAGAGGGAGAAACAGACTCCCCGCTGAGCAGGGAGCCTGATGTGGGGCTCGATCCCAGAACCCCGGGATCATGACCTGAGCCGAAGGCAGATGCTTAACTGACTGAGCCACCCAGGTGCCCCATGGGGGCACTTGACCTAGTCCTGGAAGGTGGTGAGAATTCAAACCGGGAGAGAAAACAGTAGAGAGTTTTCCAGGTAGGGAAGATTCCAGAAGCACAGCTGTAGAAATGGCAATGCTCAAGGAATGACTGTTCCTATGACAGTGAATCGTCCAGCTGGGCCATGCTGGGTAGAGTGAAAATAAGGCAAAAAAGGCAGCAATCTGGGCCAATTCTGTCACTTCCAAGTGATGACAAGTGGGGTAAAGCCAGTTTCCGGGAGCTTTACGCTATTTCAAGATCCTAGATCTACCTGGTGGCTTCACGAGGCCTAACTGGGCAAAGCAGAGCAATGCAGAGGCACCTTGCCTATACTTGAGATTGTAAGGGGCTGAGCCAGGACTTGAACCGGGTACTGTACTGCCAAGCGTGCTGTGCCTTCCAGTCCGCCACGGTGTTGTACTCTTAGACATATTCGAAAGTGGTCGCTGCCGAGTTCTTTTGAGTTTTTTTAATCAGGTACGTTTTCTACAGCGTAGTGATAATGGTTCTACTGAGAACTCACAGAAATTTTGTGCGATGATGATGTAAACCAGTCTTGATAAAAATGGAACTTTCTAGCGATACCAGCAAGACGTGGTGGTCACCTTTCAAGAGGCAGGCTGAAAGGGAGGGTAAACAGTAATGGAGAGCCTGCCAAGAAACAGAAGAGGGAAGGAAGGGCCACAGGAATGGGTGATTGCAGTTGAAACAAAATGTTAACTATGTCAAGTAGAATGGAGACACATGAATCGAAAGGAAGGAAGTGGCCAGTCCGGAGACTCCTGGGTAGCGAAACGTGATGCAAAGACACAGCTGGTACTTTGGTAAGATCAATAAAATTGTCAAACCTCTAGCAAGACTGACAGAGGGCGCCTGGGTGGCTCAGTTGGTTAAGCGACTGCCTTCGGCTCAGGTCATGACCCTGGAGTCCCGGGATCGAGTCCC